TCTGTTTGAACAACTGCTTCTCTGTCCAGGTACAGATTTCTCATGAGTACAATTAAGTGTTCTGGAATACTCATACTTCACAATGTTTTCCATAGCTTGTCATGAGCCACACAATCGAAAGCCTCTGCATAGTCAATAAAGTACAGGTAAACCTCTTTCTGTTATTCTCTGCTTTCAGCCACTTGTCTGTCAGTTTGTCGTACTGTGGTGGCTTGTGAGTTGCTGTGATTCTGAAAGCTATGCTACCGGTATTTTAAATACCAGCACCGTCACCATGATTGACAGGTTTCAGATGAGCTTCCAGATGACGACAGACTAAGAAAAAGGAGTGACAAACTACTTCCGAATACTCAGTCACTGAAAATCTTATGAATAGCAGTGGGATATTGTCAGTACCAAAATACTGAATATTGAAACATGATGAAGAGCATCAGGATATTGTCAGATACAGTGCCAGAAGATAAGCCCCTTAGTTTGGAAGGCACTCAAAATGCGACTGGGGAAGATCTGCATCAAAAGAAGACAGAAAGAATATACAGTCACTGTACCAAAAAGCAATGGTCAATGATCAACTGTTTCAAGAGGTAGCATATGATCAAGATCTAATGATATTGAAGGAAGCTATCCAAGGTGAATTAAAGGCATTAGCAAAGAACAAGACACTGGAAATTGATGGGATACAAATTGAAATCTTTCAGTATACTGATGCAGCACTGAAGACACTCACTTATCTATGACAAGAAATTTGGAAGTCAGTTACTTGGCCAATTGACTGGGGGAGATCCATATTTTTGCACATTCAAAGAGAGGTGACCCATTAGAATGCAGAAATTATCAGACAATATCATTAATATGACATGCAAGTACAATTTTGTTAAAGATCATTCAAAAACAGCTGTAACTGTACACTGAAAGAACTTCCAGAGGTTGAAGTTGGATTCAGAAGAGGATGTAGAACAATGGAAATCATTGCTGACATTAGATGGATCCTGGTTGAAAGCAGAGATACCAGAAAGATGTTTATCTGTGCTTTGTTGACTTTAAATTGTGTGGATCATGACAAGCTATGGACAACATTGTGTAGAATGAGTATTCCAGAACACTTAAAATGTGCTCATGAGGAGCCGGTACATAGACCAAGAGACAGCTGTTTGAACAGAACAATGGAACACCAAATGGTTTAAAATTAGGAAAGGTGTGCACCAAGGTTGAATTCTTTCACCATAATCCAAGAAGCTGGATTATGTTAAGAGAAATGTGGCATCAGGATTGGAGGAAGATTCACTGACAACCTGTGTTATACAGATGATACAACTTTACTGATGAAGATGAAAAAGACCACAGCTTTCAGTATGGGTTGCACCTCAATATAAAGAAAACAAAAATCCTTACCACTAGACCAATAAATATCATCAAGATAAGTGGAGGAAAGATTTAAGTTGTTAAAGACTTTGTTTTGCTCAGATCAACCATCAACACTAATGGAATCAGCAGTCAAGAAATGAAACAATGTACTGCATTGGGAAAGTCTGCTGCACAAGACCTCTCTGAAGTGTTCAAGAGCAAAGATATTCAATTTGAGGACTAAGTACACCTGACCCAAGCCATAGTATTTTCTTTCTTTTTTTTTTTGGACACATATGAGCTGGAGTTCTTTGTTTCTTTTATTAGCTGTATTACCTTGGGCATGTCACTTACCTAACCAGGAAACAGTTTTTCTCATCTCTAGAATAAGGCAATAAGCTATATTAACTTTAAACTATTCTTCCTAGGGCTGGGAGGAGATAAAGAAGGGGAAAGAATTTTCAGAAATGGCTGAAATTACTACTTCTCCTAAGGCAGATCTTGTTTGCTCTGTTTTACATATCAATTTTTAAAAATTTCTATTTGGATGAAAGTTAACAAAAGAAAAATGATTTTTCATTCAACAATTCAAACACATTTTGTTTTGTGATACTGTTTGTGATTCATACAATATAATAGCACTCTTTCCACTTTATCCCTTTAATTACTACCAAGCCATAGTATCTTCAATAACCTCATATGCATGTGAAAGTTGGACAGTGAAAAGGAAGACAGTAGAAAAATTGATGCATTTAAGTTATGGTGTTGGAGAATATTAAAATACCATGCACTAACAAAAGAACACACATATCTGTATTGGAAGAAGTACAGCCAGAATGCTCCTTGGAAGTCAGGATAGCCAGATTTTGTCATACTTTGGACATGAAATCAGGAGGGACTAGTCCCCAAAGAAGGACATCATGTTTGGCAAAGTGGAGAGTCAGTGAAAAAGAGGACACCCAACAAGATGGATTGGCACAGTGGCAGCAGCAATGGGCTCAAACATAGCAAAGATTATGCGGTTGGCACAGAACAGGGCAGTGTTTTATTTTGTTGTGCATGAGGGTGGCTATGAATTGGTGCCAACTTGATGGCACCTAACAACAACAACTATTATAAAAAGACTGAAAAGGTTTACACAGAAGAAGCCTTCATTGATGGTTATCAGGGATGGAAGGGCGTTGGGAGGAGAAGCACTAAATAGATAACAGACAAGGATTAATTCTGGTGAAGGAAAAGACAATACACAATAAGAAGAAGACTAGCACAACATAACCAAGGCAGAAGAAGACACTGAATGGTATTCAGGAATAAAGACAACCACAATGGACCACATGGATGTTTGAACTGAAAAGTCAGAAGTTCAAACTCACCAGCTGCTCCTTTGAAACCCTATACAGGGTTACTATGAATCAGAACCGACTCAATGGTGCTTAGCAACAAAAACAACACAGTAATTGTATTAACATACACAAAGTGGCCTTCAAAAAATTAATGGAGATCCCTCATGGACATAGAT